GGGAGGCCGGGGCACCCACCTCCTGCACGCACCTCTGGGAGGCCGGGGCACCCACCTCCTGCACCCACCTCCGGGAGGCTGGGGCACCCACCTCCCGCAGCTCCTGGCTCTGCTGCTGCAGCTGCTGCAGGGCCGCGTGGCAGGCCTCCTCCTGCTCCAGGAACGGGAAGATGTGGCAGTGGAAGCTGGCAGGAGGAGGTGCGTGTGAGGGGGCCGAGGGTCCCGGCTACGAGACTCTGGGTCTGAAGGGAGCTCATGGGGTGGAGTCTCAATACGGTGAGTTGGGAGGTGACAGCAGGGGTCTGGGGAGCGGGCGGTGGGCGAGTGGCCCCGGCGACTCACCAGTCTGTGATCTTGCGGATCTTCTGTCCGATCTGCTCGCCCCAGTAGGAGATGAGGAAAGTCATCCACGTGGCCGGCTCACCCTGCAGAGCAGGCTCGGTTGAACCTGGAGTCCCGCTCTTTCCAGGATCCCTCAGCCCAGCACCAGCTGCTCACCGTCACGGGGTGCTCCAGTGGCTGCTCCAGCTCCCTGAAGCTGGCGATGAGGAAGCCACGGCAGGCCCTCCAGAGCAGGCGCTCCAGGGCGGGGGCCTTGTGGGGCTCCACGGCACCTGCCACAAAGCTGGCGGCCACGGAGCTGGGTGGGGCTGCTGCAACCTCCCATTCCACCTCCCCACCAGGCTGCCGGGCAGGACCCTGCTCAGCACAGGCAACAGGGCACACTGGTCCTGCCTGCAGGGGAAGGCAAGAGCCCCCCCACCCCGGGCAGGGCCAGAAGAGGAGAACCCCCTGCTCCTCCGGGCCAGGGCTTGGGATTGTGGGAAGTGCCAGGTCTGAAGGAGGAGGCGGGGGCAGCCTGACGGCAGGAACAGAGAGGAGAGCACTGGACAAGGAGTTGGAGCTCAGCCCAGCCCAGCTCAGCGACTGGCCAGGGGCTCTGGGCTGACCAGAAAGGGCACGAAGTCATCCCTCACTCACTTGACCCTCAGGTCCTGGTGTGGCCCCCCGGGGGCCTGGAGCAGAGGCGTCCTCTCTGAGGCCGCGTATGTGTGGGCGGCTGCCAGCTAGGAACCCAGAAGCACCATGAGCCCTGGGACAGACAGCCTTCCCAGTCCCCGTCTCCTGCCCGGGCTGGAGCTGACCTGGGGGCCGTGGCCCTGGCCCAGCACCGCGGCGTGGAGCTGCAGCTGGTGCAGCTGGACCCGCAGGGCCTGCTGGTTGCCCCGAACATCCCGCAGCTCCTGGGCCAGGCGCTCGGTCTCCTCCTGGATGCGCAGCAGGTCCCGGGGTGGGGGTGCTGGCAGCCTCCCCTCGGGCGGGGGCAGGACCAGCCCAGCCCGCCTCACCTCCTCCTGCAGGAAGGCTGGGCACAGAGGAACAGGCGTGGGGCACAGTCGAGGTTGTCTCAACAGCTAAGGACCCCACCTGCTGCCCCAAACTGTTATCTGGTGGATTCACCAGGCGGAGGCTGCCGGAAAATCCTGCCAAACTCCATCCAGAAGCTCTGCTCCCCTCCCTTTGTGCTCAGGTCCGGGCTGCTGTCCCTCCCCAGTCCCTTGGCCACCGCTAAGTGCAAGGCCTGAGGTCTCCCACAGGCTGGCCCTCGAGCTGCGGGGCCTGGGTCCGAAACTGGTGTGAGTCCTGTGCCTGCCCGATCGTTGAAAAGCTATGAACGGCACCAGCAAACAAAACCCGGCCTGCTCCAGGCCCATGCCTTGGTGCCCCTACAGGCTCCTCTGGAGAGGGGTTGCCCAGGGCAGAGGTCCCTCTTGCCTGCTCCTTGGGGGCACCCAACCCTAGATTCTGGGCCCCACCTACCCCCGTCCAGCTGTAGAGGAGAAAGCTCTGTCTGTGCCTCTTTCCTGCTTAGAAACCCCTGTGGCTCCTGGTGCCCACAGGATGAAGTCCTGGGCTTTTGTGCTGTACTGGGGGCCTCCCCAGCCAGCCCTGCCCTAGGCCCTCTGCTCAGCCCACCCGAGGCAGCCCTTCCCAAGCACACCTCACAGATCCAGCTGCTCTGTCTTGGCCCTGCAGGGCCCTTCCCGTCCCTCTCTTCCCTCCCTTCCACGTGGCAAACCCAGATTTTCATTTCAGATCAAACTTGGCCCATGCCTCCTCCAGGAAGCTGCCTGGAATGTAGGCCTGGGACCAACTCACTGAAGGTCTTCTCCAGCTCCTCGCAGCGCCGAACATCAACCACAAAGCGTCTCTGGAAGGCACTCACCGAGGCGTTGAGCTGTGGGTGCCGCATGGAGGGGTCAGTGTCCCAGGAAGGGGGTCAGGGAGGTCCCCACCCTAGAGCCCAGGCCCTCCAAAAGTGCTGGGAGCCACTAGACTCTGATCAGAGCACAGCCCAGACCCCACACCCTGGGCGGGGATGGGGAGCAGCTGTCTCAGGGGCCTCGGCTGTGGCTTCCCACAAGCAGCACCCATGGCAGCGGCTGCGGGGGTTCAAATGGGGCCAGGGCCCCATGGGGAGGCAGTCTCCATCCTGGAGTGGCCTTCAGGCTAACCTCAGCAGCAACCCCCTCCCACACCTGCCCACCCAACTCACGTCTCTGAACTCCACGAGGCCCAGCTCGCCCAGTCGGCTCACGCAGGTGTAGGCAGCAGCTGTGGGCAGAAAGAGCTGGACCAGGGCCACCTCCTCACTCCGGAACATGGAGCCCATGGTCCTGTGGGTGGACACGGATGGGGGCCAGTCAGGGGTGACCGCAGACAGTTCCCAACCGTGGGCACCTGTGCACCTTCACCCATTGAATCCTGGAAGCTACTGCTACCACCCCCTCTGACAGAGGCGGGAAACTGAGGCCTGGGCAGGCTGGACACAGTGCTGAGGTCACGCAGGAAGTAAGCAGTGGGACTGGGAGACCCTGAAGCCCACCCTCAGGCCGGCCTCAGCCTCTCTCCAGGCTGGCTCTGCCCCCCGGGTCCCCTGCCCTTGCCTCCAGCATCTCCAAATGACGCCAACTCGACCCCTACCTTCACTCCAGCCTCCCTCCTCCCAGGCTGCCCTCGCCCTCGACAGAACCGCACTGCCCCAGGCACTTAGGCCCAGGGCGGCCCCCGGGGGGGGGCTGGAGACCTCCCTGCTTCCTGTGGGGCTGCCTGTGCTGAGTGGCAGGGGTGGGTATCTCCACTGGGTCCCTTGGGGCTGGCCAGGGAGCACTGCGGTAGGGGGACCCGTTCCCTGAGGCCCGGGGCACCGGCAGGAGCCGCAGCCTTCCAAGTGTTGAAACCAACAAAAGTGAAACTGCAGAATGACGGGGAGGGCCAGGGCCTTGCTCAAGGCCGATGAGGGTGGGGGCAGGCACGTGGCCACCTCCAACCCACCCTAGCCTGTGGGTGCTGGGCCCCCCTGCTCCAAGGCCACTGCTCTCAGGGCCCATCTGTGGGACTCAGTTCCTTAGCTCTTAAATTAGTGGGAGGGGACAGGACTGGTGAGGGCCCCTCCTGCTGCCGGGCTGGCCAGGGCCTGCCCAGCCAGTCACTTCCTCCCCTGGGTATGATTTACTTAACTCTAAAAGGGAAGTGCAGCCCCAGCCCCAGCCTGGGAAAGAAGAGAATGAGGGAATGAGGGAACACTGAGGGGACAGCCCAAGGCTGCAGGCGGGCAGGGCCCTGGCTGGGGCAGGGGGCAGGGGGGCCGGGTTCCATCCCTAAGGACCAGGCTGGGCCATAAGGCAGAGACTTGGGGCCCAGGCTGAGATTGGCTGTGTGACTTGGGCAAGTCTCTCTCCCTCTCTGGGCCTCTATTTTCTCTTTGGATGAATGGGACATGACACCCCTGACAGAGACAGGATCTAGGGAGGTGACAAAAATAACCAAAGCCCCCAGTGAATGCCTTCATCCACAGGACCACACTCCCTGGGGGGAGCAATCCCAGGGGAGGGGCGCTGGACCCTTGTTTTACACGGGGCTTCACGGACACTCAGAGAGGTAAAGTCCAGTGTCACATGCCCAGCGGGGCTGACCCACGCAGGGCCTGCTCCGGGCTGCAGGTTTAGATGTCCCAGCACACAGGATGAGCTCAGAGAAGGGTTGTGGTCTGACCTGGCTCCCTCTGGGGCTGTGCCAGCCAAATAAGGGGATGTGGGGACTCAGCTCTGGGGTCGGGGGAAGGGGCACTCCTGGCTCAGGGCATCAGGGCTCCCACAGCCACTTGCCTCCCTCCGGCACTTCCCAGGGGGTGGGGGGACAGCCTGTAATGGGTGGGGGTATGTGTGGGACCTGGTCAGCCCCCACTCCTGGCCTGTGAGGCTCCACTGGCTCACCCCCTACCCTGTCCCCCTTGGTCCCCGCTCTAGCCAGGGGCCACCCAGCCACTTTTATGATGCAAATGAATATGCCTCCAACCTGCGACCCTCGGGCCAGGCTCCAGCCCACTCCTCAGCCCACTCCTCCAGCCCCTCACAAGGCTCCTCTAGGAACCCACCAGGTCTCTCCGAATCCCTGCCCTCCGCTTCGGATGATGGGAAGGCAGTAGGAGAGGGTCTGGCGCCCCCTCCATTCCAAACGGTGTGGGCTCTGGAGTTAAATGACCCGGCTGGTCTCCAGCTCTGACACTTCCTAGTTGGGTGGCCTCCGCTTCCCCATCTGTAAAATGGATCCCTCCCTCCAAGGAAGAGGCAATGGGGAAAGCTCTGCGCACACCAAGCCCGGGAACGCTGGGCTCTGTTGGCCAACACCCCATCCTTCTCCCTTGGCGATCCTCCGTGGACCCCCGCAAGGCCTGACCCCGGCGTGATGGCGGGCTGGGCTGCATTCACGGAGCACACTGAGTGGGCAGAAGAGGGTGGGCCGGCAGAGCTGGGCTCCGCAGACCCCGGCGGAGGCACTCACCCCGGGTGGGCTGTACGCTGCGCCTCCGCTGCTGGCTGCCCCGCTCCGCACGCCGGGACGGGACTCGGAACCGCCTCCCGCCCGGGGCCAGCGCCGCTTACTCCTTCCCGAAAGGGCGGGGCCACGGGGAGGGGCCAGGAACGCCCCGCCCCCGGCCCGAGCCTCCACCGGAGTGCAGGAAGCCTGGGGGAGGCTGGGCCCAGGCTGTGGCCTAGCAGATGATCTTCTGTGGGGCGCTTAATGCCGGAGAGGAGGCCTGGAGACCCGAGCGGATAACGGACCAGCGCCAACCGCGTGAATCTGCGCTGGCACTGATGCGGGAGCAGCGGCGCTCAGGCCTAGCTCAGAACAGGGAATGAGACCCTGCTCTCCTCTCCGAGGCTTGCTGTGCCTATGGCTGACAGGACCCCAACATTTGCAGGCTCATGAGCTTGGGTCCCCAGGATGCTCCCCCACCTCCAGGACCCCTCCCTTGGGTGTGTGACAGTGAAACCTGGTGCTTACACCTTCCTGCTCTTGGCAGGGGCTCAGCACTGGCCCTTAGGTGGGTGGCTGCCCCCTCTGCACCTGCTTCACTGCAGCAAGACACAGGGCCAGGTCATGCTGCCTTGTTCTGCCCAGGTCCCTGCACCCAGCAGGCCCTGGGAGATGCCCTGGGGCCACAGAGGCCAGCTGTCAGCTCCACCTCCCCCCGGGGGGTGTCACTGTGACCTTGCTCCAGGTCAGCTCCCTGGGGATCATCAGGTCCCAGTGCCTGGAAGCTGGGACTCATAGCTGTTCAGCCGCCTGCACTCTAGACAGGCCTGGGCATTCCCACTGGGAGCCAGTGGGGCCCTTCAACTCTGGGGATCCCTAAGCCCCACACAGCAAGCAAAGGCCTGAGGGGGCTGTGGGAGGGGTGGACAAATGGAGCCCCAGGGCCGGGCCTGGAAACCGAGTCACAGTCAAGTTCAGCTGCAGCTGCTCAGAAAATTGGGAGACTTACAGTTGGGTGCCATAGGTTTCTTCTGACGGGGGAAGAGCCTGATACAACCAGACAGCCCCAGCGGGGTCTCGGCAGAGCAGTGCCTGGGAGGCCAAGGTAAGGTGAAGAACCCAGCGGTGAGCTGGCAAGGCTGCCCTCGTGGACTAGCACTCCGTGCACCGCCACAGGCTCCACGCCGCGCATCTAACGGCAGTCACGTCTGGGAATAGCTAAACCAGCAGTGATTCAGTTCTACGCCTGCCTCCTGGGATCACCTCATTTTTGGAAAGAGCTCCTATCTTCATCAGAGGCCAAGATGAGCTGTGGGCCGGACCTGTGGCCACTTCCGGGGTCCAGGCTTCCCCTCACCTCCTGCAGTTACTTCTCACCCCAGTGCCACAGGCTGTGGGCCCCAAGCAGTGGCCCGGCCACTTTGGCATTAGACAACAATGCCTGTCCTATAAAGAAGGCCCAGGTGTTAGACCTGAAAAAAGGCTCCCTGGGAATGGGCTGGATTTTTTGCTGCAGGCTTTGTCAGAGCCTTGAATGTCTAGTATGCAGTGCCTGCCGGCAGGCAGAAACCAACTAGACCATTTCCCACACTCATTGGGCCAGGAAACACCTTCCCCGTTCTGTCAGAGAAGTAGCTCTTTACAAAGTAGTGCTTTGTAAAAAGCACTTTTGGAAATGGTGGGAGACAGTGTGACTCTGAGCTGAGCTTTATTATGGGATGTGCACTGCACAGCCCTGAGCAAGCCCCTTCACCTCTTAGAGCTGGTTTGAAGTGAAATCCCTCCAGTACTTAGCACAAGTTCAAGGGGGCTGCTTTGGCCATTACGTGGACAAGGGGCTTGTGTGTGGCCCTGGGGGAGCCCCACCATGTCGCTGGCCCTGCAAAGCAGGAAGTGGTGAGCAGTGGCCGGGCCAGCAGCCTGGCCTGGGGAACGCAGGGAGAAAAGAGGATGTGGCGGGAGGCAAGGCCAGCTCAGGGCCAGCAGGGCCTGTGTCACCCTCGTGTGACTGTCACCCCAAGCAGGCTTCCTCCTACCCCCAGCAAGGACGCCCTGGCCTGAGTTTCTGCCACTTGCTGTCCCTCAGCCTAAGGCCTTGGGAGGCTCCAAGTCTTAAGGGTCTTAGAAGTAGGTGGCTCTCAGGAGACAGGAAGTCCAGGCTCCAGCAAGGACACCCAGGACAGTGGGAACAGAAGGTCTGCGGTGATCTCTGGCATTGCTGGACCTTGGGGAAGATGCCCAAGAAGAGGCAGGGTGACAGGGATGCTGTCATGAGCGCCTGGTGGGGCCCTCGAGTCCATGGGAAGGCAGGGCCGGGCGGCAGGACCCCAGAGAGCAGGGAGCTGGTGGCGACCTGCTCCAGCTGGAGGTGCCACAGGCCTGAGGTGGGCTGGGGATGGCCCCACCTTGGCCCACCAGAGTCAAGACAGGAGGCGGTGGGGTCAGAGCGGTTTTATTGGGCAGTAGGCTGCAGGCAGAGGGCGGGGCTTCACCGGTACAGGTAGTCAGCCTGGATGTTGGCGGCGATCTCCGCCTCCCACTTGTCCCCGTTGTTGAGCAGCTTCTCCTTGTTGTACAGCAGCTCCTCGTGCGTCTCCGTGGAGAACTCAAAGTTGGGGCCCTCGACTATGGCATCCACGGGGCAGGCCTCCTGGCAGAAGCCACAGTAGATGCACTTGGTCATGTCGATGTCATAGCGAGTGGTCCGGCGGCTGCCATCGGCTCTCGGCTCAGCCTCGATGGTGATGGCCTGGGCGGGGCAGATGGCCTCACAGAGCTTGCAGGCAATGCAGCGCTCCTCCCCAGATGGGTACCGGCGCAGGGCATGCTCCCCACGGAAGCGAGGGCTCAGTGGACCCTTCTCAAACGGGTAGTTGATGGTAGCCGGCTCCCGGAACAGGTAGCTCAGGGTCATGGCCAGGCCTTGGAAGAGCTCGGTCAACAGCAGGGTCTGGGCTGCTCGGTCAGTCACTGACCTCATGTCCATCTTGGGCTCCTGCACATTCACATGCTTGTAGGTGGTTGCCACTGCACTGCTGTGGAGGCTCCGGCTACCGGGAGGTGCTGCACGGGCAGCCTGGGCCAGGGCCCGCAGCAGCATGGGCGTGGTCAAGCAGCGCATCTTGAAGCGCCTCCGCTACTTGCCTTGCCGGGCCGAGCAGAGCAGTCAACCGGGAGGCGGAGCCTATACTCTCCAGACTAGATTTTTTTTAAAAAAGCAAGGACCAACCATGTGCTATTCACATCTGAATTTAAACATAAAGACTCACAAAGGTTAAAAGTAAAGTGATGAGAGAAAGATATACTATACAAGCATTAATCATAAGAAACCTGAAGTAGCTATTAATATCAAACAAGGTAGAATTCCACAGAAGGAATTTTAACAGGAAGAAAGAAATTTTGTAATGATAAAAACAATTCATCAAGAAGACATGAAGATCATGTGTGTACACTTAGAGCATAAAAGCACATGAAGCAAAAGATGATAAAACTTAAAGGAAAAATTGCAAATCCACAGTTGGAGATTTCAGTACCTCTCCCTTGGTAATTTATAGAACAAGTAGACTGAAAATCAGTAGGGATAAGGGATAAGTGGGATAGCACTACCAAACTGACTTAACCTAATTGACATGTATGTAAGCACTCCAGCCAAGTGCAGAATACAGATTCTTTCCAAATGCCATGGAATACTCACCAAACTAGACGAATATGGTGGGTCATAAAACAAGTCTCGATTAATTTCATTAAGAGGGTTGAAGTCATATAGAGTATGTTCTCTGTCCACAATAAAATTAAATTATAATTTTTTTTTGTTTGTTTTTGGAGACAGAGTCTCGCTCTGTTCCCCAGGCTGGAGTGCAGTGGCGCAACCTTGGCTCACTGCAACCTCTGTCTCCCAGGTTCAAGCAATTCTCATGCCTCAGTCTTCCAAGGAGCTGGGATTACAGAGGCCTGCCACCATGCCCAGCTAATTTTTTGTATTTTTAGTAGAGACTGGGTTTCACCACGTTGGCCAGGCTGGTCTCCTAACCTCAGGTGATACTTCCACCTCGGACTGCCAAGGTACTGGGATTACAAGTGTGAGCCCCCGTGCTGACCTAATTAAATTATAAATTAATTACAGATCGCTAACTAGAATGTTCCCAGGACTTGGAAGTTAGCATATTACTAATAACCAAAGGACCAAGAAGAAATCACAAAGGAAGTTATAAAATGTCTTGAACTGAATGAAAATTAAATCACCGTTTATCAGAATTTGTAAGTTGTAGCTAAACTAATGTCTAGAGAAAAAAAATTTGGCTTTAAATGCTTATCAAAGAAGATCTAAAATCAATAAATGTGAAACAAAAAGAACTTGAAGACATAAAAAATATACTCAAGTAATTCTCCCACCTCAGCCCCCTGAGTAGCTGGGACTACAAGCGTGCGCCACCATGCCTGGCTAATGTTTAAATTTTTTTCTAGAGGCAGGGTCTCACTATGTTGCCTAGGCTGGTTTCAAACTCTTGGGCTCAAGCAATCTGCCTGTCTTGGCCTCCCAAAGTGCTGGGATTACAGGCATGAACCACTGCACCCAGCCAAGTTTTAAAATTTTATTCTTTCCCACTTGGTATCATCAGCCCCATGACCAGTCTCTGACTTCTCTTTGGTCATTTTTACATCAAGGAAGCCAATTTTATCATCCATAGTGAATCCTGACATGGTGAATCAATTCAGAGTGGTTACTAAAGGAAGATGGTTTCTTGCAATATCTTTATAATCACTTGAAGACCTTAGTAACCTGGGGGAATAATCACCAACCAAAACCGAGTCAGAGAAAACTAAGGAGGCAAACAATATGGGCCAGAATGAACTGTTTCTTGTGTGCAAACAGTGCAAGTGTTGTGACTTGACATTTCTCTAGGAATTGCTTTTGCTGTGATTTTACTTTGAAACTTGTGGTGTTCTGTGGAAATTAAGAAGAATGTTCTGTATCCTAAGTCAGCTTGGTTCTCCTGACACTAGGTTAATTCGTCGGTTTAACCCACTGGTTTTTTGTTTTTGTTTTTTGAGACAGGGTCTCACTCTGTCACCCAGGCGGGAGTGCAGTGATGTGATCTTGCTCACTGCAACCTCTACCTCCAGGGTTCAAGTGATTCACCTTTCTCAGCCTTCTGAGTAGC